ATCTGGCAAAAATAAAGAAACAAAATACTGATATATGCTACCATGTGGTTGAATCTTGAAAACATGCTAGGTGATAGAAGCCAGCCACAAAAGGACACATATTATATGGCTCCTTTTATATGAAGTAGAATCCATTTATATGTTCAGAACAGGTAAATTTGTGGACACAGAAAGTACTTTAATGGTTGCCTAGGGCTGGGAGCAGGCTGGAAGAAAATGGGGAATCACTGTTGGTTGGTATGGGTTCCTTTTTTGAAATGTAAAAATGCCCTAAAATTAATTGCGGTAATATTGCATGGGTTAAAAATCTACAAAAAACTTTGAATAGTGTACTTTAAATGCGTTAATTTTATGGTATGTGAACTATATCTCAATAAAGCTTTTAAAGTTAAAAAGAGAGAGAGAGAGAGAACATGGTCTTAGAGAAGGCACTGAGAAAAACACACCAAAAGTATTCATTCACAATATGGAAGAATCATTACAATGTCTGGGCAGAGTTAACTAACATAAACAAGGTAATAAAAAATATATATAGGATGCATAGAAACTGTGCAGAAGGACTATAGGAATAAAAAGGGAAATGACCATGTAGAATAAGAAAAAACAAACCCAATCCAGTAGAAATTACAACGCAGGTGATTCTTTCATATTGCTTCATGTAGTGCCAAATTTAATGAGAACATTAAGTTAATAAGGCAGAGAAAAAAGACAAAATTATGAAACAACAGAATGAGATCAAAAGGGAGACTGCAGATCTAAGTTGGGGCTACAAGTAACATCCTTATAAAACTAATTAAAAAATTGTAAGCAGTAAGGAATAAAATAGACATTACAGGAAGCTGAATTCCAAGTCCATAATCTCTCCCTATGCTGAAATTCCAAAATCCAAAAAACTAAGAAAATTTAGAGGGTTATTTTTTTGGTAATCAATGTGGTAGCCTAGCCTGTCCTGAACAGATGTGAGGTTATTTATAATCATTGCTTTTCCCACTTAATTTGAGTATTCATATTTATCCGTTTTATTGAAAAAAAAACATTAAGAAGGTGACTTATTTATAAAGGGGAAAGAATAAATTTGGCTTTGTACATCACCACAGCAATATTCAATGACAGCAAACATTGGAGGAATATCTAGAAAGTTCTGAGGGGAAGAGAATATGGTCCAAGAACACTACATCCAGGTAACTATCATTTGAGTGGAAAAGCAAGAGACTGCATTCTCAAATATGAATTAAATCAGGGAGTAGAACACTCATGAGTCTTTCTTAAAACAAAATGCTTGACAATCCAAAAAATTAGTAGTTTGGGCTCAATGAAAACCCAAAAATGGAGAAAGTTAGGTTAAAAGGAATGGTGGTGAGCAGGGAATAGGTTTCAAGTTTTCCCTTTTATGTTATTTATAGAAAATTACAAAGGCTACCTTGAATCAATATCTCTTTTATCCTCCTGAATGTATGCGGACCTTGGAATACCTTGAGTTCAGTGTTATGCCCCCATCTTCCATACTATTGTTGTCTACCATTTCCATTTTACTTTTGAAGGCATTCCTCCTGAAATATTCATTTTCTTTTACAGTCGATGCTTAGAGCTTTTGACAAAATGTATTTCAATTTCTTTGCTCATCACTGCCTCTTGTATCCCATTAATCGAATTTTCTCCTTCCTTAAATATATCCTTCAGTGGTTGTTTCAGTGAGGTAGATCAGTTTTAAGTTTTCTTTTGTTTGAAAATATCTGTATTTTGCCTTCACTTTTGAGTAATAATTTCACTCAGTACAAAATTCTCAACTGAGTCATGTTCCTTCAGCACTTGGAAGGTATTACTTCATTATCTGTTGGTCTCTACTCATGCTTTTGAGAAGGCGGCTGTCAGATTAGTTGTTCATTTGTAGGTAATTTAGCATTTTCTCTTTGGTTACCGTAGGGTCTTCTCTTTCGTGATAACCCTGGATGCTAAATTTTCTTTTCCTTTCTCTTCCTTTTTTTCTTCTTTCTTTTCTTTCCTCTCCTTCTCTTCCCTTATCTTTTTCACATATCGTTGCTTGTGTCTTTCTCCTATAGTCTTCCAAATGAACTTTAGAATATCTAACATTTCAAAAATTGTAAAGAGAAGTTAAGTTTTGATTTGGATTTTTGTGTAACCTATTAATTAATTTGGAACCAATTGATATTTTTAGTATCAAAAAATTGATATTCCCATTTAGTAATGTACTTTTTCTATCCATTTGAAAATGTCTCTCTAGGCAAACCATGAGAGACTCTTGAATGCTGACAAAAACTGAGGACTGATGGATGTGGGGGGGAGTAGGGATGGGCATGGAGGAGGGCACTTGTGGGGATGAGCACTGTGTGTTATGTGGAAACTAATTTGACAATAAACTATTTGTAAAAAAAAAAAAAAAAAAAAAAAAGAAAATGTCTCTCTATAAATGTTCGGTCATTTATCAAATCATCTTGCCTCATTTATATGACATAAATTTATGAGTTTGCTACATTTTTGTTTCTATTTTGAGTTAATTATTTTTTTTAAACAAAATCTACATTTTCTATTGGTTATTGCTGCATTAAAGAAAACTACTGATATTTTATATTTTTTCTATCAGGATATGTCAGATTCTACACAGTATGTAGGGAAGTAGCACAAAGGTCAAAACTAAAAAGATGATTCAAAGAACAGAGATTGTTTTTAAAGATGCAGGAAAATCAGTTTTTTTTTAAAAAAAATCAAGACTTTATTTTTTTAAAGAACTGTTTTAGGTTTACAACATAATTGAGAGAAATGTAGAAGGATTGAAATCTTTTTTTTTAAAGAGATCTGTTTTTAAGAACAAGTATATTTTAATTCATCAGACAAAATTCAATACCATTCAAAATTCAATGACTAAAGAGTGCATTTCAGATAGACAGGGAAAGAAAACTAATAATTGAATACAACCAAAAAATCTTTTAATACATTTAATTTTCCTGCTAGATATTAGATATATACATTGCAGAATGTTCTGGTTATAAAAGCTGAATCAAACTTAATGGAGAAATACACACACAGAATGACCTCATATATTAAAGTTACAAGAGCTTGAGTGATATCTATCAAATGATACTTAAAAATACTAAGAAATTTCAATTCAGAGGTAGTAGAAATAATTTTTGAGACATCAGGGAATATAGCCACCTCTTTTTCATATACTAAAGTAGGTCTTAGAAATCATAGAATTAAAGTTAATATCTGAGGATAAAGTGAAAGAAATGATCAATTTATAATTTAGAAATCTCTAAAAGAGCTTAAGTGTCTGCCTAACTTTGTAAAAACAAATCATGTTGAACCAATTTAATCCTCTTTTATGGCAGAATGACGGTCTACAAAGATAAGAAGCATTTGTAAAACGTAATCTATTTTAACTTCAAGAAATGTTTTTGTTCTGTTGTATATGTCATGTTAATTATAAGCTAAGAGAGTATGATGTTGGGTATCATTTTCAATGGCTAGTTATCATTAGCCTGTTCCCAACTGGGAACTCATATTATCAGGTAGTTGCAAGAATTCATGGTGGAGTTCTTTGGATTCAATAATTTGGTTGAAAACCTAAACAAAAGATTTGAGATTTTACTAATTAAATTTGTGGATATTATGAAGTTAAATACTAGTATTGTTATTTGGGGCTGAGCTTCAAAACAATCTTGATATATTAGAAAAATATTAATGATTAATCAATATTATTAGAGAAAACTGTAAGATGTGGGGAATACTTTGGGAACATTTGGTGGGGGAGGTAAAATAGCTGCATGGTAAAAATAGATTGGCTCAATGGAAGTATAAAATTAAGAAGAAATTCCCAACATATTTTTGGGGCAGAAGTTGAGTTGGGGCTTAAGTGTCAAGATGATCATAGATCAAAATATGATAGTAGGGGCCACTGGCTGGCTCAGTTGATAGAGCATGTGACCCTTAATCTCAGGGTTGTGAGTTCAAGCCCCAGGTTGGGTGTAGAGCTTACTTAAAAAAAAAAAGAAAAGAAAGAAAGAAAGAAAAAAAAGCATGCATTAAAAGAGAGTCAGAAAGAAATATGGAAGGAAAGAAGGAAAGAGAGGCAAATATAGAATTTAGTTGTATTGAAAAACATGGCACATGAGATCTAAAAAATCACTTTTTCCCCCAACACTAGTCATATGCCTATTAGATATTATGTTTCTTTTTAGGCCACACATTTTAAAAGGATGTGAAGAAATGGAAATGGATTTGAAGAAGAGCAACAAGAATGATTGAAGGACTAGAATATATATCCAGGCTGAAAGGTTAAGAATTTAGTATTGTTTGGACTAGAAAGGGGATAGGTAAGAGATGATTTTACCACTTTCAAGATAGAAAGGATTTTTGTGAAAGATAGCCCCCATTGGTGATTTCTTAGGTCTATAGAGGATGAAAAGAAAGCACAAAGAAGCTTAAGTTTAAGCAGAAAAGATCAGGTTTGGATATAAGGCAGATGTCTCTGCCATGAGGGTGACAGAAATATGAAATGACTTCCAAAGGAGACTCTGAGCCAGGCAGCCTTATCAGTCTCCATGTTGGATGCACTGCTGAGCATGAAAATGAGTTTGAGAAAAATGATGTCCATCGGGGGTCAGCAAACTACCTCCCATAGCCCACCCCTGGACCATCATCTGATTTTGGGACAGCCCATGCGCTAAGAATGACTTTTACATTATAAATCATTAGAAACAAATCAAAAGAATGTTCCATGACAAAAAAGACTTATATAAAATTCTATTTCAATGCCCATAAATAAAGTTTTATTGGAACACAGCATGTCGTACCTTGATGTATTGTTTGTGGTTATTTTGGTGGCATTTGGTGCAGAGCAGGGTAGTTGTTACTGAGATCATATGGTGTGTAGAACCTAAAATAATTACTCTATGGCCCTATACAGGCCCTATACATTTCCTGACTGCTGACCTATATGATTGTAGCCCCTTATATAGTACATGGAATTTTTTCTCTGAAGTCTAGAAGCTTTCTTTATTGTAATAAAAATGGACCCCCCTGGGGTCGGCTGAAGAATACAAGCGGCACATCTTTTGAAGCGTCTTCGAGAGAGCTTTGGGTCCACAAAAGAACACGCCAATGTTGCTGCTACAGTGGGGCGAGACAAGGAAAGAACGTGTTATGCAGGGCCAAGGCTCGCCAGAAACCAAGACGGAGTTACACAATTAGTGAAGTGGTTGGGGTTGTGACTTTAGTTTTCTCTGCTCACTTTCTTTTTCTTAGATCTCTTTCCCACTCTCAGTACCACGCTCTCCCACAGGTTCCTAGAGTCTTGTAAGACCCTGAGTCACACAGGCAGGTGGAGCCAACAGGCTTAGACTAGCAGGGCCCTGATGACTGGGGAGAGGGCATCAATAACAGAGGTGCTATCACGTGGATTTCTGGTCAGGTGACCCTGATTGACATCCTCCTGGATCAGTGGCTAGAATGTGAGGGGCCCGCTCTGCATTACTCATCACTGTCATCCCAGAGCCTGGAATAGTGCTTGGCATATAGTAGGAAATATACATTTGTTGAGTATTGAGCTCTGGTGATTATTATCTGCATGGTCTTTAGCAAGACCCTGGATTTCAGTCTCTGTGCACGTAAAACAAAGAAACTAATGAATACATTATATGTTTTCTTAAGAACAGAATGAGATAATGCATTCAAAAAGGTTTTAGAAGTGTTAGTTATTATGAATATCTTGTTCAACTCTGCCTTTTTATAGATAATGAGACTTATACTAAAGTGATAGCAACTTAGTTTATTTCTTATGTTGGAATGCCTTTGGTTCTCAAAGAAGGCCAAAAAAATAAATAAATAAAAAAGAATTGGAAAGGAAGAAGACATTGCTGAAAATGGAGTCACCCAAAAGCTGTCCTCTCTAGTCATGGCATTTCAGAAAACTGTTGAAGAGGTATTATGCATATAATGACTGTTCCAGGGCTGCTCACATCCCTTGGGACCATGGCTGCCAGCTCTGCTTATAGATAAAGAATCCAATGGAGCAAGGATTCAGGTTGTCTTTGAAAGTCAGGTGCAGCCAGCCTCTACAGGGACTTATGGACAATGTTTTCCCTTGTCTTGCAATGTTCTATTCCTTATAGCATTTTCCCCATCTCTGGCCCAAGTTGAATTAGTGACTCTAGTCTAAAGCAAAAGTTCTCATACTTTGCATGAAATCACCTAGGCAGATTGTTAAAACACAGATTCCCAGGCTTGAATCCAAGGAATGCATTTTGAGCAAGGCCCCAGGTTAATACTGAAGCACGTGTTTCTGTGAGCCACACTTGGAGAAACATCATCCTGGAGAAATTCCTGGGACTCTAGGACCAGCCCATTGAACACCTCTTCTTCATGGCTGCCTTTTGTTGGGAAGCTCCTCTATAGGCTCCTTCTTCTTAGCTTATATACCATCATTGTTTTCTGCCATGTGTCCAATCCACATTTTAATTATGTGTTCCAGGACCATAATAACTACGGTAGAAATTGATGGTTCAATTACATTTCAAACTCTAGCTTCAAAGGAACTTATCAAGTGGACTCATTTGTAAATGACAATATTTTGAAAATATCTAAGTAGCATTTTTGAAGGCATTATTCCCATGGCTAAATTTAAGGAAGCGTCTTTTTATAAAATAGTTTTCACTGAGAAATATGAGTTTATGACTTAATGAAGCAACTTTACAGTGTTTATGAAAATTTAAGGCAGTGGTTAAGAATGCTGTTTGTTCCACCATTCATTGCTGAGAAGCGTTGGGCACATTATCTCCTCAAAGACCCTGGTCCTTATTTATGAAATGGGGTGCATTATAATTACCTAGCTCCTAGAACCTCAGAGGAGAGTAGACAAGACATGGCAGGTACAGCCTTCCATCCCGTGCTTGGTGCATAGTGAGCTTCAGTAACAGCTTACACTATCGCTGTCATCATCATGGATGTCAGTGGAGCTGAACAGAAGTTGTGATGTGGACCGTTGACCCAACGATGATTAACAGTCTTCCTGGATCAGCACTCCAGCACTGGGTTGTTTGAATTCTGGAGTGAAACATTTTGAATGATAGATGGGTCAGGCAAAACCCTTTCCAGCAAGGAGTCGCAGCTTGGCTTTGTGTCTGATGCCCAGAGGTATCCTTGCATCTAAGTTCAAAGACTCTGTTATGGTGGTGATATTTTTCCATTCGTGTAGGCGTCACCGAAGAGATTGCCCACTGGCCCATTCCCAACAGGCTAACGGTGCCCTTTCGTTTGCAGCCACAGTGGCTGTTTGCAGATCCTGAGGCTACCCTTTGATGCTCTGCCTTTAAGACTCCATTTCAAAGGCTTCTGATTGCTCTTGGGCAGGTGTACCACTGGTGTCCCCAGCAGCTCACAGCAATCCTGCCTCTTTTGAAGTTGTGGCTATTACTCTGCACAGCTAAGTACACACTCTTCTGTATTCATGTAACTGTCATGGTTATGCAGTCACCAAAAAGTCTCACAAAGGCCACTCATTATCTACCTTCTGCTGAGGCAGAGAAGCCAGTCCTTTGCTAATGCTCTGTGCATTACTGTCCCCACACATGACCGTCTTTCATGTGCTGTGCTTACCCTCCTCGGCATTTGTGGTTTCAGGGATGGAGATTTCTGGTCATGAATGCACACTGTGTGAATCAGAGCTGAGAAGCCTCACAAAGTGGTTGAGGCACAGATGTGGCAGCATTTTTTTTTTTTACTTTTATGAGACAACGGACAAGTGCAACAGAACCTTAATGGGGTTGGTAAAGAAAAATTCTTCTATAAAGTTTAATTACCCACGATTGCTTAGAATTAGAAAAATAAAGGAGTTTCTCCGCAAAAGAAGTATAAAAACACAAGACATTATTCTCCAGTTTACAGCCTGCGAGCTGCAGAACTTGCCAGTGAATGAGGGGTTGGGTCCAGGACAACATTAACGGCATCGATCAGTCTGGGCTGCTGACTTTGATGAGAAAAGGACAAATTTTACATGAGCTGCAAAGATGGTTAACATTAGCAGTACTATTTTTAGTTCTGATAAACTGTAAAGAAAATCCTTCTGTCCCCCTCTTATTTGCTAAATAACTATTGTGCTCTTTTCTGCGGGGTTGATGCATTTTTCAAAAACAGTTCAGGAACGCCATGCATGAAAGGCATCCAAAATGTCACCCACCAGGAGATTTCTGCTCAGCAGATAAATGGGAGAGTGGGTGTGCCCGGGAGTAATCCCACCATCTTGCTGGATTCCCAGGTTCTGCTGCCTTGAGCCCTTCTCTCTTTAAATTGTATGTTTGTTTTTATGTGTTGGCTTTTATGCTTGGTAAGTTATAACCCTGTAGGGGCAGACCCTAAACCCCATTTTAAAAGAAATCAAATTACTTTATACCCTGAGTGCATTCTGCAAATAAAATCGATAAACAGAAGCTTCCCGTGGATTTATGGAGGCTTAGAAAGGAGACAAGGAGGGCTACAAACTTGGTATCAGACAATGGACACGACTTCTGGTTAAGCTTTTCCAGTGAGTGTTTTTCATTAGAAATTCCTCCAAATGATTCATTGTATAATTATATTTTGTACAACACCTTGTTTTCACAACCACAGATGATAATTGTGTTGGCCAGCATTTTTAAAAACCCATCTCCCGGTTGATTTGTAGCAGCCTCCTCTGTTACTTTTCTCTGCATCCTAATTACTCAGTGGTTCATTAGGAGTTACAAAGGTCCCTAACAGCGGTTGCTCACTGCTGAGAAGTGACTTGCTATTCCCACCAACTCCATTTTCTTTGGAAAGAGCTTGGAATTTGGTCCCAGCTTCCACACCCTTCTCTTTGTTCCTTCTCTTGCAGATGCTGGCTACTGTGCTCAGCTCTGTGGAGCACAGATTAAGTTGCTGCCCTTGAGGATGGTCATGGTCAAATAGAAAATGAAATAAGAGAGAAATAAAAGTAGTGATATTGTGGCATTGGATGCCAGGGAATGGTGGAGCCATTTTTTCTGCCAACCCCTCCTGATAAAACACTAAAATATTCATCCAGAAATATCCTAATATATTTGTCACGTCTAATGATTTTCTAGGTAATGTCATCAAAGGCACTTTGCAGAATAATGACAAATCCACTTGTGCTCACTCACCTCCCTAATCTTCACTACCACAAATAGAGTAAAGCACGTAATTTCCATTGAATCTTCCCTTGACTATAGCTAGATGTCCTTGGGTGGGAAGGTACTGCTGAAATATGCTAACAACATCCCAGTCATAAGTTAATGGTGGCTTTACTTTTCTCATAAAGCTATGATTTATCATGTTTGGGATTTCCACTTAAGCCTCTTTCTTTGGGTACTCTGAACATTTTAGTCATATAATGAATATCCTATTAGATAGAGGGCCCTGTATGCTATAGTCAGAATGTTAATTTCTTAAAAATATCATTTAAAAACATTTTGCACATATGCATGTACAAATGAGGACTGGAGAGTGTGCACACAAGCAAATGGGGTTCCAGATGGACACATTTACTCAATTTAGTCTAAAGGTATTTTTACATTTCTGAAAACAATGGGTGGTCTAAAATACATTTGTGCAATATGGATTAGAATCTCCCAATCATATGGTAAGTCGGCACCTTTCTTTATCGTTGGGTTGGATTGAACAGTTCTAACCAATGGTAGTGTTCTTTTACTCTTTATTCCTTCGAGATACGGGAGACACTTCCACTCAAGTTATGAAGAAATGGCCAAATCTCCAAAGTTTTTATGGTAATTAATTACATAAAGTTTTACATTTCCATGGCATGGTGAAGTTATCTCCAGATAAGCCAAAAGTGACAAATGATAAATACAATGTGAAATGGAAGAGCGATGAGTGGAGTCCAGTGGAAAATCATTTTACTCAATTAATTAAAAAAAAAAGTGATCCAGAAACCCAGACGGTTTGGTATGTGCACAATGTGTGTTTATCAAAGAAAGTAGCTAGATATGGCAAAGGTATATTTATTTTCATTCTCTGTACCTTCTTGGAAACGGTTCCCTGATTTTCTGAATATTTGTTAAAGCTTGGGAACATATTGAGAATGCTTACAAAAAGTGAAATACAGCTTCCATTTTTGTGAACAATACACATTTCTAGAGATGACTAAGACATGACTATCAATGCATGTATTTATTTACCAACCATATTTTAGTTGGTAGAATGGTTTTCATTGGTTTGTGGTTGAAGTACTTTTCTGTGCTTGCCCAGCTTAAGCAGTGGATGGCAAGCATCACATGCCTGTGACTTTGGCCATGTCAGTCAAAGGCTTCCTTTCTATATACCCACTTACTAGTTGTTGCTCTTCTTTTAAAACTATGCTTGTGTTCTGATAAAATTACAAAAATTCATTGCAAATAAAAACAATAGAATGCACTTTTCCATTTTCTACTTTTGGTCTTTGATGTTTTTTTAATTTTTTCCTCCCTCTTCCTTATTTGTATTCATTTTGATGCCCATCAATTTGTTTCTCTATTACTGTTATTTTTGCAATTTTCTGGTTCCTTTGGAGCTTGCACTATTCTCTTTGATCTGCTTCCCTTCAAGCTTTATTTTCGGTGCTGTTTTTCATGTTCTGTAAAAAAATATTTTTGCCCCTCTTCTCTTTATTCTTTTGATTTAACTCCTTCTTCTTAGAACAAGAATGAACTCCAGCTTTGAGTGAGCAGGTAAATGTTTTTAAAAGAGTAAGCCCTAAGAATCCTTGGCTTCGTGCTGATGAATAGAAATGGTTGAGAGCCTACTTCAAAGGCCCTCAAGAACAAAGAACCTTTTCTGAGGCCACTAACAAATCCACCAATTCTTTCTGACCCATCTTTGCCAAAAGATATGAGCTAATGACAGGAAAGACCTGTCTTGTAAGAGTAGCCAAGTAGGCTTGGGAACAAACATATCCTTGACATAATCAATGAAAAACATACTGTTTATCTCTTTAATAACCATCTTGAAGAAAATTAATGTTACTTTGTCCTTTGTGTGGAACAATAATTGGATTGTGTGTTTCATTTATATCTGGACAAAGGCCAGGATATTGAAATACTTCTCAAAATTAGATTTTCTTGTTTAAAAATTAGATTTTATTGGCATTCCCTTTCTGAGATTTCTTCATTAAAAGCTTCATTAAACATAAATCTTCTTTTACACAGCAGAAAGCAAAATTATTTTAAGGAGGTCATTTTAAAAGTCTTTTGGAAGGGCTACGCTCTTTACCGGTGACTTGTAACCAGGATCTGGCATTCCAGGGAAAAAATGATCAGTGGTCTTTGCCTACATGGGTCTAATATTAATTGCATTGATAGTTGGAGCTATGTAACAAGTTGTGGTCTAGTGCCCAAGGCTGTTACAAATACCCTATTTTTAAAATTGGGGGCTAGGAAGTATGCTGTAGAGGCTTGATTCAGTGACACCCTTAGGTGGCCTCTTTTACTCTGGGGGAGATGAAGTCATCCATCAGGAAGAGTTTACATAGCTAATGTGCTGAAAAGTTCAATTGGGTTTTAAGTACATTTACATACTAAACTTTGATTAAAGCTTCTGAAAAGGAACAAGCACTCTCCTCACAATGGCAACAAGAGAAGTACCAACTACATGTTTCTCCTGCTTTCAAATTGTTTTCTCCTCCTCATTCTCTGAAACTTGGACAGACTCACTTTTCAGCACGACTCACCATAATTGTTTGGGCAGAGTTTGTGCAAATTTAGCTCTGCTCTTGGTCTCCTGGTGCTGTTTCTGGCTCACACCTTTCTGAGGGAAGGGAGCTAATTAAATGGTTTGGTTTGAAAGACCTTCCCCACTGGGCCGCAAACTTCAGGTAAAACAAAAATAAAGAAATGCAATGTAACACGTCAATAAGGGGCAATCATAGCAAGGAGTGGCCTTATCTCCAAGAACTCAAAACAGAGATGTATGTGTTTGTGTCAAAAGCCTGCAAATGGTAACATTCATCCTATAATTGAAAACGAAGTGTAGAACATTTATCAAATGAATAGATGTTTGTCTCCAAAAGGAGAAGATACCAACAAAAAAATCTGGTCATGATTGTAACATATGCTCTTGTAACATTTTGTTAGTTTTATACCTATAACTAAAAAAAAAAAAAAAAAAAAAGAAACCCACAGATAAAATGATCCGATCTCTTCCTCTGGACAAATACTCAATGCGTGTGAGATGAAGAGTAGTGACTCTCAGGCCTCAGAGGAGGCCAGAGGTCTAGGAGCTGGAACTGAACATTGAGCAGGCAGCTCAAGGGAATCAGATTCTGAGGCTCCGGAAGCTGGGAGGTTCAAAGCACCACATCTAGAGAGAGGATGGGGCACTGGTCAGGACTGTAGGCCTAGTGTTAGCAAGAGTCAAGGCAAGGAGTAAAGTGGAGCTGGTGGGCTTCAGGACTGGGGCCTGGAGAGTTCCAAGACCACTTGCTGTGAGCTTGTCTAGCTCTTACAGGTCACCTGAGGCTAAACCTGAGGGTGGGAGTGATTGCACAGCTGGTCTTCTCCCTTTCTCCCTCAACCAAGTTAAAGGTTAAACTTTTCTGGCCCCTCTTATTGGAAATCTTTTACTCTCAGGATGATTCAAGGTCAGGAAATGGTTCCCACCACCTCCAATGGACTCCTTCCTAGGTGGATGCAGGCAGGCATGGAGTACAGAGCCTCTGCAGTGAATGCTCTTGGCTTGGGCCTGGGGTTTCTTGGGCAGGCTGCCATGGCACAGGGTACGGAGCATTGGCTGGGGGTCTCACAAAGCTTGAATTGGATGGGTTATGAACCTTGGACTTGGTAACTCCTTCCACACACCCCTCCTTACCATACCTCCTTCAAACAGCTGGTCTGGGGGAAGTTTCACACATTCAGTGACAATTAATAAAAAAAGAAAATGGAATAGTGCTGGCACAAAGAGAGTATAAGAAAAATGTAAGGAAGAGCAACCAAATTGACCAAAAGATGAATAATATTCACCAGAAGAGCATTCCAAAGAGCAGAAAACATGCTAGGGAATTATAGAAGGTTTTGTAAAGCAATGACCCTGAGGAGAGAAGACCACCACTGCAGGGAGAGGAGAGATGGAAACAGGGAGTTAGTCAGAAAGACCCTAGTAGATTTTAATTTACTCTTCATGGTTCAATATTGATAAAGTGGACAGAAGAAAGGTCAGGATGTAGAAGATGTAAATAACATGATTAATCTGATAGCTATGAGTAATTTATATTATACTCTGTGACCTGCAAACAAAGAATATATTGTCCTTTCCTCCAAATATGGTGGTTCTTTGAACTCTTGTCTGTCTGAATTTGCTTCTTTGTCCATCTCGTCTAGTTTCATGGTTCTAACACAGTTCACATCTGACATCACATCTGTGTATCTCCAGCCTGAACTCTGACGCCTGACTCATATTCACCTGCTTACTTGAGGTCTCCACTTGGATGTATAATAGGGATCTCAAATTAACATGTCAAAAAATGGAGCTCTTGATACTCTTTACCTGCAAAGTTGCTTTTCTTAGCCATCCCCGAATGAGTAAGGGTAACTCCCATTCTAGCTTGGGTCATGCCAGTCTCTCATCTAATCCATCAACAAGCCATGTCAGCTCTACCTTCACAAAATACCAGCATCCAACCACCACTCAGCACCTGCTCTGTCCTAATCCAAACCACTACCACTGTTTACCCCCTCCCTGGACTCTCCACTTCTGCCCGAGGGCACTTATAATCTATTCTCTCACAACAGCCAGAAGTGATCTCATTAAACATAAGACAGATCATGTCACTCTTCTGTTCAAACCTTTAAGTGACTTCTCTTCTCAGAATAAAATCCAAAGCCTTACAATGGTCTGCAAAAGTCCCCCAGTTACCTCTCCTATATGCCTTCTGCTATTCTTCCTCTTACCCACTGTGTTCACCCTTACTAGCCTCATGGATCATGCTGGGAACAGTGTCTGGTGCTTCAGGGTCTTAGCACATGCTGTTCTGCTCCTTTCCAGTTATCTACATGGCATACTCCCTCACTTCCTTGGCCTTTCTTCAAATATGGAAACTACTCTTTAAACAAAGACAGTCATAAGACATACTGACTTTCAAGAGCCATAGATGATGGGGATTCAGAGCAAAAACCAAGTTAGGGGACATAGAATAACAATGATAAATATTTGCATTAGTGCTTGGCATTTTACCAAGCTATGTATTTTTTAAATTATGAAAAAAACACTGTGACCTCATGGTATCATCTATATTTCACTAAGGTCACAGAGCCAGTAACTTCTAGAATCAGAAAACACAGCCTTCACTCCTGTCTTATGGTCCCAGAGCAAATGCTCTTCCTTCTCTATATTGAAGTTTATTATATAATGTTAATGATACAGTAATAAGTGATATAATGATGATGATGATAATAGCTGCTAATATTACTGAATTCATTCCTTTAGGTGTTTTATATGTATTCACACACTTAACCCACACAGAAGCCTGAGAGGTAAGCACTGTTAGTAGTTGCAATTTACAGAGGAGACTAAGTCAGTGGTAGGATAAATAACCTGTCCAAGGTAAGCTGGTGATAATGGCAGAGTCAGGATCTACACCCAAGTACTCAGGCTCCAAATCCTGGGTCTTTAACTGCCATATTAAATCTCTGCTTGGTCTTATAACATTTTTTGTCTGTCTTGCTAAACATGTTAGGTACAGTTTACAGTTGGACATATGTGAATTCTCCAGTTGGGTAAGTTGAGATCAACTGTGTTCACTGAACATTTCCTCAAGACATAGGTAGTTTAAGAAATGTCATCTTTAATTGAGTTTAAGTGGGAAAAAATTCAGCTCCACTGCTAATGTTCAAATGTTGTAAGCTAGTCACACAGAGGTCCATGGTTCCTAGGAAATCCCACGACCACCATTTCTCAGGTCTAGGTTTTATTTCTAAACAAGGTGCCCAAGGTGCCCACTACTGCACATGAAGTAGCTTGTGCCCTAGACTTTTCTGCTTGAGCAGCAACCTCCCGTGAGGCTCCCACAGGCAGAGGAAAGAGAGCACCTTACCTGGGGTGGGTGTAGGCCATCTGCCGGAACTCATGGTTCCAGTCAGGTCTTCCATAGAACGTTTTCTGCTTTAACCCTGTGATCACATCAATATTTGCATCCCAATGTAAAGCTATGTGAACAGCCTAAAAGAAAAATTGTGCTATCAGGTGAAACTTACCCAAAAAAATGGAAATGTGCTACTAAAGATCAGGCAATTATGTTCATTTGCAGATTTAATACTCAAAAAACTTCTTCATGGGCTGGAAATGCTTATCGTTATTATCAGAAATCACTGCTTTTGCATTTTGGGATAGGCATCACATCTCATTTATCTTTGTATTCTGCCTCGGGCACTACTGAAACACAGGGCCTTTGCCATGGTTGATGTGTAATAATGTGAGCCTGGAAAGATTTTTCTTTGCAAGGCTGAGGGCTGAGAGTGATACAGTAAATATGGGTAAAGGAAAGTAAACATTAAGGTACTTCCTTTTTTTCTTCCAAACTTCTGAAAAATTAATCTCTACCCCTGTCTTCTTTCACTTAATATTAAACCTCAGGGATTTGAGAAGGGCACTGCCAGATTAAAATGAATGGGAAATGTCTAGGAAGAAGCTAGATCTTACAATAAGATCCACCGACTGGGTTGAAACAGTTTGAAGTGTACTGTCCAGGTTCAATGCTTGGAGGATGCTGAGTCTGGCAGATGGACCACGATGGCCAAGCATAGCCATCCATGGTTGGAGCTCTGTGCCCAACTGTTTATCTTCAAATTAGACAGATGCACCCAACCATCAGGTAAGTAGCGGTTGATAATTAAGAGCCTGGGGCATAGCACTGTCTACTGATGATTTTTTTAAGTTGCTGAATCCTGGTAGCTACTTTCCTTCTTACCTTCTGGGATTTATGTCCTCCATGCTTATCCCTTAGACCCCCCTACAGCTCCTGAGTTCATGTAGTTCACTCTTTGGCACTCCATTTGCTCATATCCCCTGACTTGTTCTCCTCCTGACTAGTTTGGCTCACAAGTGCTAGGCTCAACTCTTACCCCAGGTTTCTGCTGCATACTTGCCCTCCCAGGCTGGTCTCATCAGGCCAGGAAAGCAGCCAGAGATAGGATGGGTGAGCAGAAAACAATGGAGGTGCCCCAATGAGCAAGTAGGTGATGGCCGACAATGGTAGAAGCGCAGAAACCCGGGCTGCAGGAAGTTGCCATTAGGCAAGCCTGACTCCAGGTGTCCAGATTCCTATTGGAATCGAGTTTGCGAATAGCGACTCCAGGAGAGGGAGCAATAATGAGAGGATGGTGGGATCCTCTTCTCGGGCAGGTTTATTAAGACGAAGAGTGAAGCATGAAGTATGAGAGAAGAGCTCAGGAATGAGAACTGAGGTGTAGTTGGGGATTGAGCTTTGAGAACTCAAAGAAGCCCTCTTATCAGAACTGGAACTCAAGGTCAGAGGGAGTAGTATCAGCCTCCAGATGAGAGTGTGGTATTGCATCCCCACGGCCCTCTTGCTTAACAGTAGGATTGACTGATGCCATGCAGTTAGTTGGTTTCAGCTGTGAGCAGGTAAAAAGGCAGAGGCAGCCAATTTACCCTTGACCAAGTGCCAAATCTAGTGACCAACTCAGAGCTGCCCTCCTTGGCTTCTCGGCCAACCACAGGGCTGAACATTGCTTCTCCTTGATTTTATATGCATTGTATAATCCTATTTCTTCTACTTCTCTCCGACTCTTCATTCAAGGATGAAATGTTACATTTTTTTTCCTAGGACATTATCCTGTCTCACAATAGAGCTGCCTTCCCAGTCCGTAGTCACTTTTGGGGCACTTCTCTCCAAAGAACTTTCATTTTCATGCTCCCAATTAGCCGACCCTATAAAGATGACTCCAAACTTTCTCTCCCATGACCTCATCTTCCTGCTTGGGTAGAGTCTTGGAACTTGAACTCTCCAAGAGTCTTGGAACTTGAACTCTCCAAGCATATTTTTATGTAGAATTTTTTCTGGCCCTCCAGATTGATCGCCTTAGCTAAAAATGAATTGTCAAATATTTTGTGACTTCAATTTACTTCCCCATACAATTGTTGAACGATTCCTATAAGCAGGAATGAGTGAGTGGCACAAAAAGAAATAGAGAAGGTCTATGCTTTGTGAGGAGCTAGTCATCAAAGGAAGGGCAAGCTCAAGTGTACAACTACAATGACATAAGTCAGACCACTGATCCTTTTTTTTTTTTTAAACTAGAGACAGAAACAAAGGGCTCCTGAGAAGTAAACAAATTTCCCTGCTGAAGCCCCCAGTAATTTTGACTAAGAAAACTGGGGATGGCTATATAGGGAATGGAGCTTTAAAGAACCATGCATTGCAGTAGGCAGTGGGGAGGACAGAAGACGTTAAGTGATTGTCAGGGAGCGGGAACAAAGAGGGAAGACCCACAGGCATGCAAATACAAGCCATTGTTCCGGTGGCTCCTGTGCTGGAGGAGCCCAGAGAAGCATGGTGAGAATGGAATGGAACAAGTTCTTTGCCATCAGGTCAGGAAGGGCCTTAAAGCACCTGCTAAGAAGGTTGGGCATTATTTAATAGAAAGAAGGGCACTTTTCTACTTATGTTAGTGATCCTGTCGAACTACCAATCAGTGATGTTCAAACATTTGGAATGATATTTGTTCCATATTTCTCAGCCCAACATCCAATTAATCTCCAAACCCTGTTGATTTGCCCTTCATAATACCTTTTCCATCTGTCCCTTCTGTTCTTGTCGTTCTGCCACTTTGAGGTTGTTGAATTCAGCTTAACAATTGGCTATTTCTAAAACAGCCTTTTGATTCCTCGCTGACAGAATGCACCAATTATTTTTTCCTGGAATTTGAGCATCTAAAGAGTTTCAACATGTCACGACAAAAATTTAGGAACACGTCTATTTTAATTTACTTGTATTCAGAAAAAAGTGTTTCTTACAGCACACTGTTAGAAGTGGCAGAGATAGGACCAGGCAGAGTTGTACTGTCACAAAATCAAACAGAGCCTCAGTCTCAAAACTCCCAAAAGACTGGAAATTTCTAGGTGGACACTCAGAATCCATTCACTTTAGAAGCAGAGGGCAAGCACTGTACTTGAAAGCAAAACACAAAGGCTGTGTCTGTATTTCATCAAGAGGATCATTAGTCAAAAATCCCATTTGAATAAGGAAAATGTTTGTTTGGAAAACATAATTAACACTATTTAGTTCATTAAGATGTTTTAAGCCTGGTTCCCAATGAACCTGTCTTTCAAATTATCCCAGAGGAATAAATATCTAAGGCCTATTGCAAATAAGACCCTAAAAATTCATTTAGCTATTTATTTTCAAGCTAAGTCTTACTGGACAAATTTCAGTGATGTCCTGTATAGTCTGCATGCATGTGTGTGTGTGTGTGTGTGAGAGAGAGACAGACAGACAGACAGACAGAGACAGAGAGACAGAGAGAGAGAAGGAGGGAGACAGAAAGGGAGGGAGAGAAAGAGAAGGCACTCCCAACACCCACTCTCAGGAGCACATTCATTTGTAAATTTAGTGATTAATGCAAATCTTGGTTCAAACATACTTTCCTTAAAGTAAATATCAATCTGAGCAGCTACAGAAGTGTTGATTAGAACATAACATTTCATAAACCTAGCGATCTCTTCATTGTTAGCTTCCACATTTGAAGAGCTAAAAAAAATAAAACTTAGTAGTTATCATTCAATATTATCAACACTGAAATACTGCCCTAGTGCAATATTTTGATATACATTATTTTTGGTAAGCTCCACCTTAATATTTCATTAATACAATATGCTTCCAAACACCTTCCACAACAGAAGATCATCTTGATCTTAGGTGAATAAACATGTGTACACACAATTTCTAAGAATGCCTTAAGAAAAAGAAGTCTCTAGATAAATCATGTATTCCTACCGCTTATTTTCTGTAGACGTTCACATACCTTACAATACAAAATGTTGAATGTAAACACTTGGGGGTTTTTCCTATTTAACTCTGAATAGCTCAAAGCACAGAATTAGACCCAATCAGGAGCTGAACAAGACAATACAGCAATCAATTATATTTGCTTGGTATCACTGAAATGACAAATGCAACTTTTAGTGACATAATTTTTCTTGGATTTCCATGCTTGGGATTATCTTCCATTAACTAACCTCTTTTCTAATCGTCTTATCTATTCCTCAGCAAGTTAACTGTAGATGTTTTTTATTGCTATGATTTGAATAACCCTTCTAATCTGGTTTTATTTTATTCTTCTTTCCTATTTAAGAACATGCAAATAAGTCTTCCATGCTGCCAGATAACTATATAGCTCAATATTGACATTGTTTCTCTTCCCTTCGCTCTATTATTAGATGACTTACGTAATATTGATCATTTTAAGCATCTTATCAATACCTGATTTTCATCCCAGCTGGTAAGAAATATATGATAACTCAGAAAGTGAGCTTTCCCTTGCTCACTCATGAGTGTTTCCAGTGAGAGTAAGAGATCAGCAAACCATTCAAAAGCCCTTGGATCCCGGCAAATCCAGTAGAAATACACCTGTCAAGAGAGAAGACAAGAGCATGATCTGTCCCTCTTTTCATAATGTGCTGATAATCACAGACTACTTTATCTCCATTAAATCATTTGAGCTCAAATGGGCACTTCTGCAAAATGACATGCTTCTCTCTGCCAGGGAACAGTCACACTGTGATTTCTTTTGAAAAAATTCACATTGTGTTTGAAAAAGTCCAGAGTGAATTCAGAGTCAGGAGTCTGTGGGCTGTTGCCAGTTTCACTGGATGAGGATCAATTCACCACATTCCTGGCTGTGCTTCTTTTCAGTGAGGTTAATAATCATAACTAGCTGTGCCTTTCGTGGCTCCCCAAGGGGGATAAACCGTTAGACCAACCCCCTTCATCTTTACTTATGACCTAAGCTCGGGATTTGAACTCTCTTCTCCAGAGACCCCAAAGGCTTGTGCGCTAATCCACTTCACCATCATGACCTCCGGAGGGTGGATATTATGGTAATTTGCTGAATGAAGCCCACAGGCCAGAAGTTTCCCCTCAGCCAGACATATCAGTGTCCAAGAAAGCTAGTGGCTGGCAGTAACGGTTGTGTGTCAACTACTATAATGAAATTATGTCTATGAACATTTTTTTTAACTCTGTGTTTAACAAATGGTGTGTGGCAAGAAGTAGTATGGATCTGCTGAAATAAAGGCTTAGTTTTTGTGCTTTGAGTTTTAGATAATTGTGCCTAGAAGAAACCACAGGAGATAGATCTGTTAATTCTCCTGATTTTTCTCACAGCCTATTCCTTGCTGCTCATGACTGTTTCTTGCATCCCCCACTAAAGAGACATCCCTGTTATTTAACAAGATCTACCAGGGGGCTGGCCTTGACCTCCACCAGGAAACATCTCCTCTGCTAGGTGGTATTCTCTGCCTCCTGTCTCCACCAACCAGCCTGCAAGCTCACAATCATGATGAATCTTATAGACGAGATTTAATTAACAGATCAACTTCCTGAAGAAAAAAACATACCACAGTATGTATTTGAAGGTTAAACATCTTGCCTATTTCCCCCAGGTTTGTGCAGGAATTTCTAATATTAACAGTCAGTAAGAGCAAAAGCTAGTGAGGTTAAGACGTTTTCTCTTAAGAATTAGAGCCCAATATTTGTTGGACAGCACTACTGTAGCTCAAATAATAATCTCTAAGTGCGTTAGCCCCCAAAGGAGTGACTGTTTCTTGGCAGTCGTAAATCTGAGCCATGGTTGCTTCTGGTGAGCACCCCAGGGACCCCCACAAGTACAGTGATTGTGTTTATCTACTCACTTGTTGACTCAACAAATGTATATTACATGCATACTCTATGTCAAGACTCTTCTTGGCTCTGGCACTTTAAGAGCAAACAAAAAAAGCAAAAATTTACCGTTCTCCTAGGGTTTGCATTTAGATGGAGAAGAAAGAAGATAATAAGCACAACATAGAAAACATCAGAGGGTGATAAGTACTATGGAGAAACACAAGGCAGGCTGGAAAGGGCGGCAATACTAAGTCGAATGGTCAAGGGAAGGGAACATTTGAGCAAAGATGCACAGGAGGCAGGGGGAGCCACGGTTAGGACAGGAGTCCTACTGATGGAGGAAACAAGGAGTGGGACCTCTGGGGAAGAGCCAGGGGGCTGGTGTGGCTGGATTGTGAAGGGGGGGCCAGTAAGAGATGAGGTCTGAGAGGAAGGCCAGGAAGCACAGATGTGGGGCTTGGTGCCATCTTGACTTTGCATGAGATGGGGAGGCACCGGGGAGTGTTGCACCAAGTCTGACGAAGAATCCCGAGGCAAGGGAGGCTGGTTTTGCATCCTAGGTTGCCGATGAGTACTGCTATCTTCTTTCCTTTCACTTCGTGTAGTGCCTAATCTAAATTATTCTTTGCGGGGCACCTGGGTGGCTCAGTTGGTTAAGCGTCTGCCTCTTTATTTTGGCTCAGGTCATGATCTCATGAACCTGAGATGTCTGGCTCTGCGCTCACAGTATGGAGCCTCCTTGGGATTCTCTCGCTCTCTGCCCCTCCCTGACATGGGAGTGCACACTCCACTCTTAAAATAAATAAATAAACCTAAAAAACTTATTCTTTGAAAACCTTAGCCTTCCTTTTGACTTGCTTTGCTCTTGGTGGAAACAGAAAACCTATTGATTGGGTTTAATACCATTCTTACTTATGCACCTCCCCTTCCTTCTTATTCTCAGTAGGTTGTTTTACCCAGGAGCATTAATGATGGCATTCGGATTAGAACAAACACCATTGACTTATTTTCTATTATTTCCACTCCTTAAGGAACGTGCTTAGCATACATTCATGTAGGAAAAATACCCCGTTTACTTTTTTGAAAACTTGTCAATTTCAAATCCAGTCTCAATCATCCTTATTTGAAAAATGCCCACATCTTAGCTTCCTGCACATTCTGACCCTCATCCTTTCAAACAGAAATCATGCCTGTTCTTGCTTTCTTGTGGCTTGGCAGCGTGTCAGCGTTCTTAGGGCTTTCCAAGCCTTTTATACTTTTTACTTCCTTATAATGGCTTTGTGTGTTTTTCCCTCTGTAATTGACTTATAGGTGACACAGAGCAGCTTTGGTGCAAGAGGCAATGAAGGAAAGCTGAATAGGCTCAGAAGTGCTTCAGGCAGAAAAAGAAGAAAAGAGACTTTGAACGGAGAAAGAGGCTATTTACTCTGACTCCCTTTCATCCTTCTAACGGTGAGGGATACTCACTGTGAAGGGACAGGACAGTTCGACTTCAGCATTTCGTCCAGTAGGAAGGACCTGGTCACTGGTAGAACAAATATCCCAAACTACAGGCTACACCTGTGATCTTCCCCACACTCACCTCTCCTCAGTCTCCAAAAATGCAAAATAAAAAAACCTGAAATCAGTTACCTGTTGAAAGCGTGGCTTCCAGAATTCTGTAGCTGGTGTCAGGGGCCCCAAATACTTAAGTCTACTTTAAAAAGTTTTGTTAAGTAGAAAATCATGTTCAGTAAAGAGATGAAAGTTCAGAACTTTCACAGTAACAAAGTTATTGCTTTTACAGGACTCATCCCACACATTTCTGGAGGTATAATAGATCCCTAGACGTTTTAGGAGACTGCTCCAGCAGCTCACAATGGGTTTAGAGTGCTCTGTGTACACATGGCCTGTCACAAGACTTCATGTCACATCATTCCTGGCATGAACCACCACGCCAGATTCAGCCACCTCCACCTAAGCAGGCCTGGGTCTGAGCAACATGCGGCACTGTATTCTCTTGCGAGTGCCACCCACAATCTGTGCAGCTGGTCCTCTGCAGAATTGCATGTGGACCAGGTCAAGGTGATCTGGGGCCAGAAGGAAATGGATCTGTGCTGCTTTTGGAGAAGCAATCTCAGAAAATGAAACAAGAACAGCTACCCGTTGCCTTTACTAGCAGGGTCCACAGGTGTTCTGTTAGAGGCTCCTGTCTCACCGCCTGGAGAGTGATCTCTGAACACAGGCAGAGGATACCTCCACAGATGCAATCTGTGTTTCTTCAGACCCTAAATCAATTTCCCGAGGCCAACAATTATTTATTTATTTCCTCTCCAGAGAAGGCGATTGTACCTGAAGACACGGTTTTATGATGTGGTGAGGCAGAGTAATTAGACATTGTGAGCTCGTGAGTCCTCTAACCTGTCCTACACTTCCGGCTTCACCAGCTCCAGGCTGGGTACCTGGAGGCAGGTTATTTAACACGAACCTAGATGACCACGTACGTAAAATAGCAGAAACCCCACCACCCTCTAGAACAACAGCCTACAAGATTATTGTGAGGATGAGAGAGAGGGTCTGTGGTCACGGAAGCATCGGCACAATGTGGGACACACGCATTAGGTGCTCAGAGCTGTGGTTTGTGATCTCTGCTCTCTTCCCTGTTGTTTGGAGGAGCTTCCAGAATGTATACCACAAATCTATATTGGAGAGAGCAAAGGGAGTCGTTTGCCTTACTCGGGGGTCTGTGTTCCCACTGGTCACTTGTGAATTAGAGAGGTGGTGATCACTGAGAAGAGGTGAAACCAAGCTTTATCTCCAACACTAGTCTCTGAACATCAACATTGATCAAAGGATGCTGTCCTAAACAAGGAACCTCTTTACCAGCCAAGTGCACTCCAGGCTCTGTGTGTACTAAACCCACTGGAGGCATTTAAAGAGTGCCATGGTTGACCTTGACCTTGACCAAGGCCTCCACCCAGGAGAAGGCCAGTGGAGTTACACTGTGACCTTCCTCCTTCTGGACAGCGCCCTCTGTTCCCCACTATCATGAACTGAATGTTTATGTTGTCTCCAAATGTATAGGTTGAAACCCAATGTGATGGTGTTGGGAGGTGGGGCCTTTATGACCAGGAGAGTGATGGGATTAGTGTCCTTCGGAGAAGAGGAAGAAACCAGAGCTCTCTCTATGTGTCATGTGAAGACACAGCCAGAAGGTGGCCATCTGGAAACCGGAGAGGTCTCATCAGAACCCAATCATGTGGGCTCCCTGATCTCAGACTTTGAGCCTCAAGAACTGTGAAAAAAAATAAACATGTGTTCTTTAAGACACCCAGTGCATGGTTTTTCTGTTATAGCAGCCTGAACTAAATGCTATATGCTAAGACAGCCATGCAGTACAAAATACAGAACTGATAGAAACTCCAAACAAGTAGGGTGACGGAGACTTTCTACTGAGGGAATCATGACCATTTTCCAAAAAATGAATTTTTCGCTCTAAAAAGATAAAGATCGTGGCTGATTTGAAAACATAAATAAATGATTCTTATCCTCAATAAAGGGTAGCTATTACTGTCCTGGCTTCTATTTTGTTGATGTTGTGAAAGTCCTCTGGATGAATATAATTGCAAACAAATTTTGAAGCAATATTTTTTCTTATTGAGAAACTTCCTTACTGTGGCTTCCATGTTCCGTTTTACGGAAATATAATTATAGAATAATTTTTCTGATTAACCATTATAAGACTGAGGCCAGTCTTTGTCATTCAC